GTAAGATTACATGGATATTTACTATTAAAGGGGGGGGGGGGAGCAGAAACAAATCGACAATTATGTTGTATATTTCAGATGCCATTTATCTCGATCAACTGAAATGTCTAGGACCAGCTGGAGACGAGACTTGTCTCAAAACACGTCCCGCCCTCCTGCTGCCGCAAAGACCATTCAGCCAATCAGCATGTCCGGCGTTGGTGACCACGAGAAGCCGGTGACGAAAAGAAACAAAAGAAACACTTTCGCCCTCCAGCTCTCGCGGACCAATCATAGCTGAGGAAGCCTCTCACGTGTTCATGGCTATTGATTAGTTGGATTACTTTGCTCACCAAATGGAAAAGGAAAGAGAAATGCGATGTACATGTATGTATTAAGTTACACACACAGACACACACACATGCACACCAAACCACTCCCCCTCTCCATTTGTAAATATCTTTAAAAGGAACCCGTTCTATAATTTGCGTTGTACAGTGTTCACATTCCTCTAATGACACATTTTAAAGATTAAGTAACAAGCTAGACATCTCGTGGAATGCAATAAGGCAAACCTATGCCTACATTAGTACAAATTGGCGGGTACTATTTTCTCTTTACATTCATGAGTTTTGACTGGTGCTTTAAATTGCATTGTACTTCCAACCAGATTATATCTCATGGAATGTCACAAGGCTTACATTCTTGAGTCTTAAAATCTCTACCTCCAAGCACGATATGGCGGGGAATTTTTTTTCTTCACTTTACATTCCTGAATTTTCGACGTTTGGAGAATTCGTTAATGCAAAAACAAAAGTTCTCACAACAATTCTTTTCCACAATACACATATCAAGGGATTGAACTTTAATATAATTACAGTTTTTGTAATGCATATTTCCAGCTGGAGTAAATACATCTCTAAACCCACCAAGGTTGCATAGATTTCCACTCAATGATAGAGACTAAGGGGGAGTAATAACATCTTCCTTCCGTTAACCCTGACTTTCATTCTCAGATCCATACCTCAATTGTTGATGAGGCATTCCTATTCACCCATAGCTTTAAAATGTATACGCAGTTCAAAAGAGAAATTTTCATCTTAAGTTCAGATCTTCTTTTCATTATCTGTTACATAATCCATTATAATTACCATTTTCTTTCAACGTTCAATGAACACACTTCTCACAACATCAAGGGAATGTCAACGCCCCTTTCTCAATATCAAAGTGAATTTTCCTTCCCAAACGTAGCCCCAGTAAATTAAAGGCACCACAATATTTTCAACTATGTCAAATATGAATGCGTATTTTTATATATCAAGAAATAAGGAGTATAATCCATCTTCGTAAGGAGTTGATAATCCCTCAAATTGCATGAACTGCTAGACACACAGCCTTTTGTCCCTCAAAATGCTGCCCCTGACATCACTATATGTTATTCATTTATGTGACTGGTGCTTTAAATTACGGTACATGTACTTTCAACCAGATTACATCTCATGGAATGTCACAATGAAGGCTTAAATTCTTGATTCGTAAAATCTATACATACAAATACGATTTGGCGGGAAATGTTTTCACTTTACATTCCTGAATATTTTACCGTTTGGAAAATGTATTTATGCAAAACAAAAGTTCTCACAACAGTTCTTTTCCAAAATGAACATTTCCAGGGATGGTATTTTTAATATAATTACAGTTTTTGTACTGCATACTTCCAGCAGGAGTTAAATACATCTCTAAACACCCCCATGTTGCATATGATTTCCACTCAGTGATGGAGACTAAGGGGAAGTAATGACCTCTTACTTTACCCTGACTTCATTCTCAGATCCATATCTCATTTGTTGATGAGGCATTCCTACTCACCCATAGCTTTAAATTGTATACGCAGTTCAAAAGAGACATTTTCATCTTAGGTTCACAGGTGTGTTCAGATTCTCATTTTCATTATCTGTTACATAATACATTATAATTACCATGTTCTTTCAACGTTCAATAAACACACTTCTCACAACATCAAGGGAATGTCAACGCCCCTTTCTCAATAGCAAAGTGAATTTTCCTTCCCAATCTTAGCCCCAGTAAATAATGGTACCACAATATTTTCAACGATTTCAAATGTGAATGCGTATTTTTATATGAAAAGAAATAAGGAATATAATAGATTTTTATGAGAAGTTGATATTCCCTCAAATTGAAGTTACCAAACAAACTATATACCGGCAGATATAAGAAACTTGCTTTTCATTTCCTCCTTTTACCCCAGACGGATAATTGACACAAGAAAACTCAGAAAACATGCTAGTATCAGTTTACCCAGTAAAAAACATACTGAATGCAGAGGAAGGGTCAATACCTTACATGTAAACAAAATAGCATATTTGGCAACAAAAAAAAAAGGAAAGAAGGATTTCCTCTCCCTCTTTTCTTTCATTTCCCTTCACTCGGCTCCTATGTTTGCAAATTCCACCCCACTTTATAAAGCTTCACCTTATGATTTCCCATGAAATTAAAGCAGAGCTAATTGAATAGCTCATTTTTCCACTCGTTCTTCTTTAAAAAACAAACACAAATTCTGACATATTTTTCCTTAAAAAAAAAAGAAAAAATTGAAAAAGACTCGGAAACATGCTAGTATCAGTTTACCCAGTAAGAAAATACTGAGTACAGAGGAACGGTCAATATCTTCCATGTAAACACAAACAGCATATTTGGTAAGAAAAAAGAAAGAAAGAAAGAAAGATTTTCTTCCTTCCCTCATTTTCCCTCACTCGGCTTCTATGTTTGCAAATTCCACCCCACTTTATAAAGCTTCACCTTATGTTTTCCCATGAAATTAAAGCATAGCTTGAATAAACAAAAAACACTTCCTTTAAACATGTTAAAAATCATGGCAATACCTCATCGTTTTTTCTTAGTCACTCGTCTCTTTAATTATCATGCTTATTCTTTTTTTCTTTCTTTTCTGGTATACATTTACCTCCATCGTTTCTCATCCAGCGGTGTTACTCTTATCGTTTGTAGTATCTGTTCCCTGCTCCTCCTCTTGGTTATTGACGAACCATACAGTCCTCAACAGCTGGAGTTATGTCCCTTCTTTAAAGATTACCGCTCATGATGTTTGCCTCACCTTGTCCCAATCACAGGACTGGATAAAAATCATACACATGGCTCCTATGTTTGCAAATTCAAGCACACTTTATAGAGCTTCACCTTATGATTTCCCACGAAATTAAAGCAGAGCTTGAATAGCTCATTTTTCCACTCGTTCACGCATCAGCTGTATACGATGACTGGGAAAACTGGATACCTAACAAACCAGACAAATTAAAATCCGCACTTTCCATGGTTTTGTATACTATCAAACTCAGCAATAACAAATTATTGATTCCATGAAAGACCTACTTTCTCCGAATGTTTTCGGCTTAAATGGTGTTGTAACATTAACACTGCACTTTCATGATGATCCTTTATGATTTTGTCGTTATTCACATTTCCATTAAATCATCAAACTATAACTCCATGGCACCGGTGTCTCCCGCCACCACTGTATCTCCCTTTAAGGCTCCCGCTGTAGCTCCCTCAGTGAAACTCGCTGTGGCTGACACGGTGACTCCCGCTGTAGCTCCCGCCATAGCACTCAATGTCGGGATCTTCGTTAACTGTAGCTTCCTTCTAATAGCCCCTTGCTGGCGTTCGAGGTTCCCTTGCTGGCGTTCCAAATTCCCTTGTTTGAATGGTGTCGTAACATTAACACTGCACTTTCATGATGATCCTTTATGATTTTGTCGTTATTCACATTTCCATTAAATCATCAAACTATAACTCCATGGCACCGGTGTCTCCCGCCACCACTGTATCTCCATTCAAGGCTCCCGCTGTAGCTCCCGCTGTAGCTCCCTCAGTGAAACTCGCTGTGGCTGACACGGTGACTCCCGCTGTAGCTCCCGCCATAGCACTCAATGTCGGAATCTTCGTTAACGGTAGCTTCCTTCTAATAGCCCCTTGCTGGCGTTCGAGGTTCCCTTGCTGGCGTTCGAAATTTCCTTGCATCTCCCGGACAAAGGCTTCTTGCTGATTTGGAGGCATATACACTTTGTCGATAAAAAGTTTTGCGGGATCAGCCCGCGAGAAAAAGGCTAACTTCCCGACTCGTCTCGCGGCTTTCAAAGCAGCAATTTGAGGTTGCCGCGCCTCTCGTACTCTCTTTGGCATATCTTCGGATATATACATGGTTGTTCCTTTTAAGTTTTTAGCATGTTGCTGCACTAACACTCTATCCGCGTACCTCACGAAACGGGCTTTGATGGCTCTTGGTCTCCCTCTCGCCCCAGCATTCCCGAAAAGGCGATGTACTCGCTGGTATTCTATCTTGTCGGCAAGTTCGACGGGAATCTGAAGCTGTTCAACATGCAGATCCCGAAGGACCTGCTTAACATTCTCATTCTGCACCTCTGGGATTCCAGTATAAATCAAGTTCTCCCTGGCTACATAAGCACTTAACTTGTCAATCTCATCTTGAAGAAGTTTTTCCTTTAAACTTAGCTCCTTCTCTACGCGGTCCACTTTTCCCTTCGCTTCCTGTACTTCTTTGCTTTGAAATTCAGCAGCTTCCTTTAATCCATTTATCGTTACTTCTAAATTTCTCATCCTCTGTCCAAAAGTTTCTTCCAGAAGGTCCAATCTACTCTCTATTCTATCCCACTGCTCATTAAGAAGTATACGTATGGATGGTATCACGTCGGGGCTGGGCGGCGTTGACGCCCTAGCCCGTTTCGATGTGGCCTTTCCTCTTTGAGAAGTCATGATGGGAGAGGTCCGAGAAAGCACGTCTTACTTCCTCACGAACATAATGACGTAGTTATGGAAACAAAATTGTTTGATGGTGCGCCCTCTATCGTTTTTGTCATCTACGTTATTTTGCCTAGTCGAAGAACTGCTTCTCCGATCCGACCGCCCCGCGGCCCGTAGTCTCTTACTTTCCTACGCGCGCCGACAGGCCCGGCCAGTCAACTGTTCACCGCCGCCTGTTGCAGTTCAGACTCCAGCTGCTGCTGCCACTGCATGCCGCATGCACTACACAATTTGGCTAATTCAGAGGAAAAAGTCTACTGTTCAAAAGCACATTTCCAACTTAACGTTAGACCTCTAGCTTACTTCTAGTTTTGGTAAGAAATAGACTACGATTGATAAACTTTTATTCAGAATGTTAAGTTGTATTTTTGTATTGTACTTTTGTAGTGACGTGAGCTGAGCGAAGTCGAAGCCGAAAATTTTTGTATTCATCCGCTCTAACTCTAACGTTAGCTCTCCGTATCTTCTCTTCGAAAGTCGGTGAAAAATGTAATGAGAAGAATAGTTTGTATTGTTAGGTTTCAATTAGGCCGAAGATTTAATTCAATATGACAATAACCATGGCATATGTGGGGCTTTGTTTTATTTTTTTATTTTAGAAATTGGTGCATGCCATTGCATTGTAAATTGTGACAGCTAGTTGTGATTCTGACATCAAATTTTGAGATAACAATATCTGCAGAATGCCTAGACTAGTTGACATCTACGTTAAATCTAACATTTTTTTAGATTCTATTTTCTACTCATGCCAATGTTAAGTTGTACTATTCAGGGCAGTCAACTTTGGGGGAACTGCTTCGAGGGAGCTAGGTCGTATGCAATTTATTTTTTTTGCTCAACGGCAGTGGCGTACGCAGGATTTCGCAATGATAGACGAAGCCAGCCGCTGAATGGGGGTAAGAGCACTTTTTTTTTTAGGGGGGGGGGGGGGGGGGGTGGTCCCGTATTTTGATGTGCTTACCATGTTTGGCGGGAGGTTTTTTCATAAACTGGGAGATTCTACATCAAAGCAGGAGAGCGGGAGGAAAGGCGTGCTGGCGGCAGTCCCCAGCTACAAGCTATTGCGACTGCGTGAGAATGAGCATGGTGGCATGATCGAGACTCCCTCCAAATGCGGGAGGGTTGACAGCCCTGACTATTTAGTAGGGCCATTCCATGAGAAGAAGGACATGACATCAAAAAAAGAAATGTACCTCTTATGTTAATTTTTTCATTTATCACTAACCTTATGCCATGGATGTTCATAAAACATTAGGGCCTTTCAAATTCAATACAATTTATTTTTTATTTTTGTTGATTTCCTAAGATCTCAAGCCATCATCAAAAACGTACATGTGGGACTGTAGATGAAAAAAAAACAATTTATTGCAGATTACACAGGATTCTTGTAATATTTTTTCCTGAAAATTTCGCTAAATTGAAAAAGATGAATATATTTCCATATTCTAAGCCTTTTCTAAGGGGTCCAGGGATATTTAATCTATTACATAGGGTTGAAAATGGCCTCCGGACAAAATGTAACGCGAGTTACCGTAACGTGAGTTACCGACATATTTGCTTCCAGCATTTTACTAGTCCATTGTTTCTTATCTTTAATATTGTGATCTTATACTACCCATAGGAAAGAAATGAGCCTGCCGCATACTCCTGCGGCAGACTTGCCGCAGATCTGCAGCAGACCTGCCGCAGACAGTCATCTTTTTCACATGCAAATTAGTTTTGCCGCAGACTTGCCGCAGACTTGCCGCATACTCTTTCAGTATGATGAAGAGTCTGCGGCAGGTCTGCGGCAGACTTGCTGCAGACTCTTTCAGTATGATGAAGAGTCTGCGGCAGGTCTGCCGCAGACTTGCCGCATACTCTGCCGCAGACTTGCCGCATACTCTTTCAGTATGATGAAGAGTCTGCGGCAGGTCTGCCGCAGACTTGCTGCAGACTTGCCGCAGACTTGCCGCATACTCTATCAGTATGATGAAGAGTCTGCGGCAGGTCTGCCGCAGACTTGCTGCAGACCTGCCGCAGACTCTTCGTCATGAATATTCATATCTCATATAGACCTGCTGCAGACCTGCCGCATACTCTTTCATATCCAGTACGTGGCAATAAAGTATGCATGTAGAAGAACCAGTGATAATCTGATTGATACTTCATAATCGATATTGGCAATATCGATATTACCAATTAGGTAATACCAATATATATTGATATTACCAATTAGGTATATTCTATTCTCAATTGTATTAACTTCATCACATTGATCATTTGAAGTGTATTCAAGAGTAACATTTAAAGTGACACAGGCTCGTACACATATATATATACTAAATATGTATATTGTTTCTTGGTTAGTAATCATAGTTTCTTGGTTAGTAATCAATATATCTATTGCTTAAATGTGAATGTAATTGTTACATGATCAGACAAAATAATCTATTGGTTAATAATGGCAAAAGGAAAATAGAAATCACAAAAATGATGTGCATTGTCTTAATTTGCTTAACAAATCATGATAAATGTATTTTTCTGTCACATGTGTAAAGTAATAATGAATATGCATGAGATGATTGGTTTCAATTGGCCCTATTAGACTTTAATGGGATTTCCTGTGGTAGACCTGCCGCAGACTGTTCCTGTGGCATACTGGTATGCGGCAAGTCTCGAGCAAATTTTCGCCCTGCCGCAGATCTGCCGCAGACTGTTCCTGTGGCATACTAGTATGCGGCAAGTCTGGAGCAAAGTTTCATCCTGCCGCAGATCTGCCGCAGACTGTTCCTGTGGCATACTAGTATGCGGCAAGTCTGCAGCAAAATTTCATCCTGCCGCAGATCTGCCGCAGACTGTTCTGTGGCATACTGGTATGCGGCAAGTCTGCAGCAAAATTTCATCCTGCCGCAGATCTGCCGCAGACTGTTCCTGTGGCATACTGGTATGCGGCAAGTCTGCAGCAAAATTTCTTTCTGCCGCATACTTCGGCATACTCTTTGCCGCAGACTAAAAGTCTGCGGCAGGTCTGCGGCAGGTCTGCGGCAGGTCTGCGGCATACTTTTCACTTTCCTATGGGTAGTAAGTCTCAACCTACTATCAACGTAGGAAAGATTTTGTCAAGATTGTCTAGTATGAGGAGACTTTGCCAAAAGAGGGTCTCATAGAATTGACCATGTCCTTTTTTTGTAACGCGAGTTACCAAAATTCAATAATCCAAGAATCTAAAAATGTTTGTTCTTCAATTTTCTTTTTTGTTTCATTCAGTTGTTCTATATCTACCCTGTCCATGTTTGAAAAAAGTATCTTGCAGATCCTAGCAGTTCTAAAGATATAGGCACATTATCGTGTCAATGTACCCATTAGGTGTAACGCAAGTTACCATGGAATGGCCCAGTATCTGTTTCTTATTGAATTGTCTAAATAATATGTTATTCAATTCTCTGATCAACTTTTCTTTCTTTCTTAATTTTCTCCCTTCGATCTCTTCCTCTTCCTCTTCAAGTTCTAGTTCCGTCTAGACTATAGCTCTCTCTCTCTCTTTCCTTTACCTCTTAACTTTGAAGACACAGAAGTTTTTAATATCTGTTTAATATATTTAGATTTTTATGTAATATTTGAGAGTTTTGTATACAGTAGTTTCATTATGCATGATTTATGGTTGCCACGCTTTAGTCATTCATAGTTTGATCATTTATTGTGTTGTACATTACTTTGTAAATTGAGCAATTTCAGCTTTCCAGCTGCATGTTCATTTTTACGTAGGGGGCCTACAATAAACCAAATCAATTCAATTAAATAACTATAGGCCTAAATTAAAAAAACATGGATCAAATAATATATGTTCCTGAAAATTTGAAAATGAAATGTGTGTGATGTTTAGATACCTCATCATACAAATTAACCTCTCTGACTTAATTTAATTAGGATCACTATCATCTAGTTGTCATGCATCAGCTGTGAGTTTACATTCCTTTCACTATGATATATGAGATATTTACACTAAAATTCATTGCAGATCATGATAGTGAACAAATTTCATAGTAACATAGAATATGGAATTATTGCTTTGTTCGGTTATGTTTTATATGTAGCCTTCATTACATAGAGCTTTCCATGATTTTTCCTTGTTTAGATACCTTAGCTTGGGATCAGGATGAGCAGTGATATTTCCTCTGTGTCCGGGGCAGGGGGTGTAGCCCCTTCCGTCCTTCAGATCAAAACTCGTCATCTCAATCGACCTCCAACCCCGGAGACAATGATAACAGATCGACCAAATGACCCAGATGTCAGCATATTCTGTGAGAAGTGCCATGAATACTTCAATGTAAGATCCACTCAAGAACACAGGAGCTTCCACAATGCTCTCGTTGTGCTTGGATATAGCGGCAAGGAACAACCCGAAGGTGTGAAGGGGCTCCTCAAAAAAAGACAGGAGCTCATGAAAGATCTAAACAAGAAGAGCAATCCCAAAAGACCTGTATCCTTGAACAGATTACAGAAGATCAATGAGGCTTTTGAGCTAGTGAAATCCCATTTTGAGGAAACCTATGAAAAATTGATCCACATTAAAGAAAACCCTGTCTATGACTGCAAAGGAATATCGCTGAACTGTAGTGCTCCTTGCGTAAGAGCAGTAGGCATTTGCTCCGACGATAATAGTCGTTGGAAATCAAAGATGGAGGATACGCGAGTATTCCAAGATTACTATGGCAACGATGTCAACAAATGCTTCTTTGGTATTTATGATGGATATAATGGTAGGTTTGCAGCAGACATAGCTGCCAATGACCTCCATCATGTCTTCCTTAGTGAGCTTCAGAAGGTGGATGAACGAGTTTCCTGTACTTGCGCTGTAAATCTTGCAGATAACAATGATCTGACAGACTATGAGCTTGAGAGAGGATCTCCTATCGTACGGAGTGATAGCATCCGTCACATATTGCATGAAGAGAGCATCAACATCATTCAACAGATCATGCACACCTGTGAGAGTAATCTGATGAAGATGAGCGACATTGTAAGTCAGGAATCAGTGGGTGATTGGCCAACGCGAAAGAAGAAAAATCGAGATCCAGAGTTTGAGAAGGTTTCCCAGGCATACCACATGTCATATCTTTACCTTGACCGGTATCTTTCTTATGGAATTAATGAAACTTCACTGGTTCGCTGGAGTGGCTGTTCAGCCCTGTCTCTCCTCATCAATAGCAAGGAACAACTGGAGGCTGAAAATCCAGGAAATAAAGATGAAAACACTCAAACTGATGATGGGGCAAAAGATGAAAAGAAAGATAGAGAGACGGAGGCTACAGAGAAAGAAGAGAAAGGAGATTCTGAAGAGGGTCAGGAAAAAGAGAGCAATGGAAGTGAAGTACACTTGGAAGAGCTTGGTGTCTTGCACATTGCTAATGCTGGTGAGTGAATGAAATGGTCAATTCTATCAACAGAGCTCTGAAAGCACACTTGGGTCAACCTAATATGCATTATCAAAATATGATCTTCTGTCAAGTTAGCTTTTTATGAATTATGTTTATGTTTGTGCCACTTGAAATAATGTAGGTACAAGTGCAGTCGATTGTATGTAACCCAGGAACACGAGGAGAGTAGAGTATCTTGAATCAACAATAGTATTTATAGTATCCAAGCTCTTCTCCAAATTTGTTCATGTATTTCCCTTAGTTTTTAACTAGAATATGCTTTAAAGATGAAAAATGAAATACCTCATAAAAGAAAATAGAATTCTTTTTTTTTCTTTTTTTCTTGACCAACTTGTTCTACAACTGCAGAGTAAAATATTTAAAAATACCTGTATTTGTGATGTCAAGACATGTACAAGCTTCTTGGAGCAAAAAGTACTCTGTTTAATATTATGATTATTTCCTTTAACTTAACAGGTAATACCCAAGCAGTCCTGTGTAGAGCTGGAAAAGCATATCATCTAACCAGAGATCACACCCCTGGAAACCCACAGGAGAGAACACGTGTAGAGAAGGCAGGCTCATCAGTCCATGCAGGGGGTCCAAATGGGCGTGTCAATGGCATCCTGGACACTACAAGGGGTCTAGGTAACTATGGAGATCCCCATCTTAAGAAAGCAGTCATTCCTGAACCATACACAACCAGTGTCAAGATCGACCAGCATGCTCAGTTCATTGTCATGGCATCATGTGGCTTATGGGATGTATTGACCGATGATGACGTCCTCTCATTGGTCAAGCAGACCCTTGCCATCCACCAGTCACGGACACAGGCAGAAAACGTTCCTGATGAATATGAGGGCTACAGTAGGTCAGATGTTACAACATATGGTGAGGATTACCTCGGCGAGTCGTTTGCGACAGGGCTGAGTGCCAGTTATGAGCAGACAGGATTTGACAACACAGTAACATCCGTCATTGACATAGATGCGGCTGAGGGAGATGAGGCAAATTTACAGAAAAAACATTTTCTGAATCCCCTTCCATCATTAAAGGAGGATGCTGATGACGAAGATGATGGCGATGATGAAGCTAATAGCAAATCAGAGATAACCTGGAATGAACCTCTGACTGATAAAGGTGCTGAGGATCACCAGGAAGCACCTTCTAATGAAGGCAAGAGCCAGAATAACGGTATCCGGGTCGAAGGGGTCGCTGAAGACGTAAAAGCAGAGATTGAAGAGGAGACGGTGCCAGACATGAAAAACTACAAGGAAGAGTTCAATGACAATGCAAGCACAAAGACAGACTTTGAGAGCATGCTGTCAGCGCTATGTGACGATGGAAACGAGGCAGACATCGAAACGCTGACAGAGCTGCACACCTTTTATGCAAAGTCTCGTCTGTCAGAAGGACTGGGCATTGTAGATAAGAAGGAGGAGTATAGATTAGCTGCTGAAATGATCAGCGAGAGACTAGTTCAGAGTGCTTTGATGGCTGGTTCCAGGGATAATATCACTGCTATGGTAATTCTGCTTCATGGCTGCCAGCTGTGAAATAGTCAGAACTATGAAGTCTTTCTCAAAAAGGCATTTTGACCTTATAAGGAAATATCCAATGTTCATTATCAGGTTTTGGTTTTAATCCAATAAAGGCAAAACGAATTTGTATATATATAGTATACACAGAAGACTAAATATGATTGTACAGACTATATGTTGCATGAATTTAGATGATATATTTAGAATAGTTGGTTTTTAATTCAATATAGTTGATAGACTTGTAGCTACATGTACATTGAGTATATTCATATTTGTAGTTGCATTGTACTGTAGCATTTCCTATAGATATATATGATGTATGTCAAAGTATTACATTTCGTGAAGAAATTAAGTGAAACGGTCATGACCAAGGTAAAGTGTTGCGATGAAGTTGAACAAGTTCCCTTTTAAAAACCAAGGATTAGATTGTTGGAGATAGGAGAAGGAGTGTAGAAATGTGCTATGAACAGGCAGACGGATGCCTACGGTATATACCGCAGGTTTAGGTCATGTGTATCTAATGGTATGTACACTGTACATACAAATTCTGAAATTCAATTTCGGGGTAAAATTTCTGAACTCCTGGGTTTGTTTTCTGAAAAACGATGTAATCTTTTGTGTTCGGGAAAACAATGTTGGTTGTCATAACAAAATTAAATTGCACAGAACAAATACTTGACATATGTGCTTGATCAGATATCTCTAAACTTTATACCAACGCAGCCAGCTTTGTGCAGACATTAACCAATGACTTGTCCTAACGTTGATGTGACAAATTACATTGTTGTACTAATTTAACAGATAACATTGTTTTCAGAATACCACTCCTGAAATTACACTACAGAAGAACATGATAGTGTTGATTTACTGTAGCTGGTATGGTATGCAGCCATCGCTACTCAAGTTTATTGTATTCCGTGAATTTCCGTCCATGATATTATCAGTATTCATGCCATCCTATGACTTTCGGGTGTTTAATGTGCAAATTATGAAAATATGCAAGTTATAAAGTTATCCAAAATATGTATATTCACATTTATTGAACTATGTTATTTCTATTTTTGTAGATTATTGTACATTCTGTCTACAGTATGTTCAAATGCATAGATTTTCTATTTTTACTAGCCCAGATTTTTTATTTAATTAATCGGTTTATTGCTAATGATTTTGATAAATGACATCCATTGTACATCTTAAGAGTTCCCCTTAATGTTTGATATTCTGTTTTCAAACAATAATCCTATAATTGAAAAAAGTAGTTGTAAAAAAGTAGTAACAAGGATTCTTGTCATTTTATCATTTTATATTTCAAAAATAAACTATATAAAGCTTTATGTACCTTAAAATAATCAGACGTTGCTTGTAAGTTACATGAAGGTGGACAGTGATTTATAGTGGCACTCTTAATCCTGATGCTTCAAAAACTAGAATGTGGGTAACAACAATCAATTGAAATTTCATGTATGTAAGAAGAAAAACCATGCATCACATTAAACTGCCAGTTAGGGGCTCAAAATGGCCAGTCAGTGCCAGTATTTTTCAGGAGGCATAGGTCTACATGCATCTACATGTACATGCAAATGCTAAAAAAAAGGGTTTTATTTAATTTTTTATGGGGGGGGGGGGGGGGGGGGGGGGGCGCGTTTGTGAAAATAAAACGCATCAGAGTAAATAAGATGTGGCTATATGAGCTTGGCTCGCTGTACTACATATTGGTAGGCTTATATGGTAATGGTAACACATTTTTCATAGACAAGCAGAGAGAGAAAGGCTTTTGCATTATATTTAATGGACTTCAACACATCCTTTATAACAGAATCATTCTGTATTCAAGGTTTAGGAAAGATTCTTCTGTTTGTATCAGTAAATGAGGGGTTGCTCATCTATGTCATCTTGTCTGTCATCTAGCAGGCTGCAGGTACAAATCATTAATGCTCAACTTTTGTTGATCACAATTTTTTAATTTTTTTTAATGTATCCTGTGTCAGAATACATTTCTTTTTAACTGTCTTCAATGAGGTCAACTTAATCCAGAAGCTTTCATGTTTACTTGCTTACCTTTCATGTTTTCTCCATTATAATGTTCCTTTTGACACATGTATAGAATTATATAGATGTTAAGATTTATTGTATGTTTCCCCATATGCAATCAAGATGTATACATGCATACATTCCATACATTTTAACTACAGCTAATGTAAATGTTTAATTAATACAATTCAAGCATCAACCGCAATCAATTTCAAGGGTGAAATTTTCATTCGTCTCTCTACTTATTAAAGATATACCGCTCAGAGTGGCTATTAGTACAAGGACATGAATTTGGTTATGTTGTATATATATTATATAGTATGTATGTGCCGGGTATTTTTTGGCTTGGAAGTTTGATCTGTCTAAATTGCATTAAAATGTATTATATTTTGTTCCATTCCATTGCCTGAATCTCCTCTTTTTTTCCCCCAATCAATAAACTTATTTTGTCAATGCTGATGTACATTTCATTTCAGTTACTACATTTAAAAGATACGAGACCGAGTCATCAATATACAGAGTTTGGCCAACCCGGAACCAGGTACAAAATGGCAAGTACATGTGCTGCTTGGTTGGGAAAGCACAACAGAAAAATGTATGGCATGTCCTGACCAACAGAAAGGAAGTTGGCCAAACTCTGTCTCAAGATATGATTACTAATATTGCCAAGATTATCACATTAAAAACATACAAGAACCCAAACAATGAAATCATTCCATAGCAAAATTGTTTTATTTTATTTTTGCACTGTGAATAGAGTACACATATGCCATTGTACATGGTAAATAGTATACACATATTACTTATTCATCCATTTTCTTTAATTACATTTTTTCTTCATCTTTTGGGATAAAACAGGCATGATCATCAACTTTACACAAGAACAAAATAATAAAAAAATTATAACCAGAATAACAACCTTTGTCTATACTTGATATATAATATAAACTGAAAGTATACCCAGTTATTCCAGTTGTAGAGTTAAGCTACACAGCTACACAATACAGAAGACTAATACATTGTAGAATTTCAAAGTTGGAAATGTTAACTTCTACTCAATAAAGGAATCCATAGAGATTGCCCATGTTTTGGATTAAGTGATGATACATTGTTTTTAAGCATTCCTACAATTTTGGAATTTTTATTTTTATTACGCTAAACTTGGGCAACATCACCTTCTTGGCTGAAACCCAACAAGAACCGAATCCATATACAGCATTCCAAAGGCAAGTACCTTTCCAGCAGCAGCACTGCCTATTCTAACCAATCACTTACTTCTACATGCTCGACATGTATTACTGCATCGCACGATATCAGTAGTCCCACATATACAATATATATTCATTACAACTATGGTAGCTGTTTCATACGACGGTCAAAATGTTGGTCTTGTTTCAAACTCTCACCACCTCCTTGAAAAAAGAAAAGGAATTTGACTTTGTACAGCTTTATAAAACATCGAGCCAATGATTTACATGACTGCCACATGATCCCAAAATAATGTTTAAAATATATTAAGCTTTTTTTTTCATGAATATTACAGATGGATAAACATCTGAGAATTACAAGACTGTTGCTCACATATTTACATCCCTTACGTACAATATTGGATTCGACTCCACCTTTACGATACAAGAAAAAAGATGTGGGCATTTAACATACACTGTCAAATACACCGAGGACGGTACAGTGACAATCGTTTCAAAAGGCCTTTCACATCGAGCAAATACAAAGTCATTCCTACAACTACATGTATAAGGAAATCCTACCTTCCTAGATGTAACATTGACGGTAGTTTCATGCCAAATTTGTAAAACCCACTGCTAGATAATTGAGTTTCTAACCAAAGTGGATTTTATTCAGACAATGTCCTGATATTTATACTGTAGATTAATTTGCTGAAGTACTTCTTGTACCAAGTTCAGAGACAAAAGGGCACTAATGCAATAGATTTATACAGATAACGAACCCTTTTGTCTCTAAGCTGATAGTGCAAGAACAAAGTACATATAGCCCTGTAATCACACCATATTTCAGTGGTTGAGGTGGACACAGTATCTTGTCAAAGCGCTTGATTTGAATAATATTGGTCTAACTATTAATTTCAAAATGGAGAAGAAGGAACACCTCTTGCAAGAATAGTCTGAACACTTTGTAGAAATTCAGCTAGCTGTCGAAAAGAATTGAAATATACACTAATCAAGCATTTACATGTACTTGAGTATACCATGCAAAACAAGTAATCTTGTATAAACAAGAAAAAGAAAGGAAATACAATGTATATTGGTTAGTCATTACTTCATTCTCTTACAAGTTTTGATGTGTCAAGATAAATCTGGTATTAATAAATATGTTCCTATTAATATCATGTACCTGTGCAATCTTTTACATTTCCTCTGCAGAAACAAAACTATGTTATGAAGCAATAATGCAAAATACAAGGACCTCCAAAAAGCATAGAAAAAGATGCGTTCAAATGTGTGCCCCTTTCACAGAGATCACATACAATGAAATTCATAACAAAGTCATAGTTTTAGATTACAGGAGTATTAAAAGTTACCAAGAAATCTACATACAATAGACTAAATTTACATTTCAAGTTTTGTACTTAATGCATTGATGGTTGTGTTTCTATACCTATTTCTTACATCTTTATCTTTAAAAAAGAAATAAAGCAAATAATCATGATTTCAAAATTCATACCAATCATATATCCCGACTTGACTGAACCAAAGTGCACGCAATCAAATGGATGTACAGCTGTATTCACATTATATAAACATTGATCATGATTTAGCTAACTATTGTCAAGTCAAATGAATACATGTTTATATATAAGAACTTAATATTGCTCAAACTTGTTTAGATGTTCAGATTGTTAGTATTAAAGTCAATGCTAAAGAAATGTAAACGAGGTCCTGTGACGAACACGTTATGTATAGGAAAGAAGATAAACACGGCTAAATATTTAGGTTACATGTGCAAGTTTGATTCTGTAATCTGTATCAAGTGTGGGTTAGTAATACCAGTGCAAGAATAGGAATTTGTTGAATGATCCATGGTGCTACGGCCCTTCATTATCCTGAAAACAATTTTATTTTCCAGAATTCCAAGGAAAAAGGATTAGTTTATTCTGCTTGCCCAGTTGGACAAATTTGAATCTAATTCATGTATTGTGACCATATTTGATTGCCGTGGCAACTGATTTGTATCGTCCTGCCTATCATTCATTAGATGCAAATATGAGCTTTACATCTACATGCTAATAAATTGCTTTGTGAAAGTACGTTACCCTTGAAGGGATGAAAGGGGAAATAAACATCCCTCAACATAAACAAAAGAAACTGAAGTTTTGCATGCACTACAAGCTATCGCAAAAGTTTCATATACCGATTCATGTCTCATATATGACTTCAAAGCAATTAGCTGTCACTGGGGCACATTTCCTGTTAAACAACTAGAGAACTATAAAATAAGCGCTATATAAACGAGTTGCCTTCTGCTGTGGACTACATACAACATGTGAAACAATATATTGGAGAAAATACTAGACACCTTGGTTGGGATAACTATGAAAGAGACAGGATTAACAAAAATGTTGGAACACATGATACAAATAATAAGCATATAATCCATATTTACAATAACATTTACTTAGCTTCTTTATTCACTTATTTATAATTCACAACCATTACAATAGTTAGTTTTTCTTATCATACAAGTTGTTTTCATGAACATAATATTTTTTTCATTCTTTTCATAATAAAAGGATAAAATTGATGCGTGGATGGATTTGTGTGAATTTACGTCACAGTATCCGTATGTACATACATGAATGTGATTATATGAACTGGGCTTACTGTGCTTCACATTGGTAGGCTTACATGGTAAGTTGAGATAGAATTTTGCAGTTTGTCCTCAACCAAGACTAGAATTTGTAAGGACCAAGGTCAACCAGCGAGTGAAATGGTACACTGCAGGCCAAATTTCTCTATAAACAATTCCTTCAGCCTCCTACCCTAAATATGAAAATGCAAATATCCTTGAATGAGAAAAGACAATTTATTTTTATCACTGCAATTTAGAGGCATTCATAAATTCCAACTCCTATTTGGACGATGTGAAAATCATGATCATTATGGTGTAATTCATTATATCTCGGTTTAATTCATTTGTGTTCAATAGTCTGCAGGAATGAAGCAACAGCGAAGAATATTAAAAAGAAAACAGTTTTCCATCAGTAAGATCTACAGCTTCTCCCTAGTATTTGCAATTTAACACAAAGCAAGGCTCAGCTCCTAATATATTTGAGCTCCATGGGTAAAAGGCTCTCATAATTCATGATGTTTCACTAATTTAACAATTGCTCCATGAAAGGAGGATTCTATGAATTGTGTCCCAAACAATTACGAGTCTTTTCTTCATTTTTTTAACCCAAAATTAAAATCAGCTTAAGATGATCATTGACCTTTGGTTCATTCTGTTATCTCATTACCAATCAAAGTCCTATCAAAATTAATCATTTATGGACCAAATAAACGGTTCAAAACCTCTTGTCATAGAGGACACAGCGCAAAGAATCACCCTAAAGAGCTATTGCCCGACCCTTTTATTGATTCGTTTACTTTTCATATCCTGAAAATAACCCCTGATATATTTTTGTTGAGCCCTGGATACAGAAAGAAGGGTTTACATATTTCATGACCACTTTCAGGTCTGAAGACTTGATAATATAAACCTTACTGATAGAGCACTAGGTTGAAACCCATGCTATACGAGGCTGTTCTCAGGCTACACTGCATATGTGTACCAGCAAGGAAGGTCTAGATAGCTGCAGGAAGGAACTTTACAGCAAAACAGTGGGAACAGCCAAAGCATCTGTGCCGACTGTGTTCTGATTAAATGAATGTCTAGATATTTTTTTTAAAGGTATGACTCGAGCTTCGGCGCTAGGGCAAGACCTTTGGCTGCCCCCTTCTTTATCTCTTTCTGTCTTTCAAAATAAAATGCAACATTTTTCAGACCGGCAGCCTTTGTTAGTTTTTGCAACATCCCCCTGACGATTGTTGGTTACTCTCCGTTAGGTCCACGCCCCTGTTCGTGCCCCTCTGTCCACTGGTAGGTCCTCCAACTTGGTCATTCTTTGGAAGCTTCTTGGCTGTTGTAAAGAAAGAGAGAACCGTAGACATTAAAGGTAAACAAGGGAAATGCTTTTGGCTGTCTCTCCTGCATTACGCAATTCGATATGTTGATGTTTCGCTGCCGCCATAACCGGAAAAGAGGCGCCTATGTTTTGCTTTTTGTTAACAGGCAAGACAAAAAAACGATACCACTGATCCATTTCCATAACATCAATAAACCAGTGAAATGAAAGGAAAGATTTGTGTTCAAGAGTAATCACCTTGTACCAATATGAAAGTTAATAATAAGAACATTTCTCAAGAAAAAGTATCAACTAGAAATAGTAGAGTGTCTCTTACTACAATACATTTGTTTTTTACTTAGAAATGACTGCTTCAATAAGAAAAGCTGTTCTGATCCCATGTAGTTAAAGAGTGATATTTAGCTAAATTGTAACAAGCTCATTTTAGTTCATAGTGTAAGATTTCCCAATTCTAAAAAAAATATATTTACAAACCCCACACAATAAATTAAATATGGATCTATCAAAATCACAAACACTGTTAGAAGTGTTGAATTTCCATACAGGTCTACCTGTACATTAAAAATTAAAAATTAAAAAAACAAGCAGTTTCCCATGGCTTTGTTAATCCGGCTCTAAAAAGAAGACCACCTAGAAAGTGAGGAACCACACAAACTATTTCTTCAACAAAGTAGGGTTTTTGATCTTTCTCACTCACCTATTGCCAGGAATATATCATTGACGTTCATGGCAGTCTTGGCTGATGTCTCCATAAACAATAAGCTGTTCTCTTCTGCGTATGCTTGGGCCTCCTGTAAATTAGAGCAACTCAATGCTATTAGATATCTTAATCTATGTGTCACTAGCATGGAAATGTCACTGTCTCTATTAACAGGGGGAACAAATTTCTTTTTATGATTCATAAGTAATAAATAGTTTTTCCAATTAAAAAAAAATAAATAAATGTATGCATTAGACCAATTTTGATAAATATGATAAAAAGACATTTTAAATACTTTGGTTTAAAAAAAAATCAAATAAATACATATATCTACCAGTAAACAAGATTCTTTGAAGAAACTAGAAAGCCTTGAAATAAAAAACTAATTAATAGCAATAAATTGCAACCTTAGTATGCTATGTCGAGATTGATTTGAATTAAATTGCATAAAATCACTTTCTAATAATGATTATAGCTTGGGGTTCATCATTGAGAAATATGTTAAAAAGAAACTATATTTAAGGCCTAAATTTAAAGCAGACACACAAACACAAACACACAAATTAGAACAAGCAACAAAAAGGCAAAATGCTCAATGGCATATGACCTTTGCACAGTCTAAAACCATGTTTAGATGGGGATATTTTGGTGTGCAAAGAAAATGGTGCAATATGTGATGCAATTTCCAGTTTTGTTCTCATAATTTGATTCTTCTTTTTTTACCTTCTTTTTCTCATTTCATGATTATCAATCACAACAGGGAAGGAAACAAACACACAAATTAGAACAAGCAACAAAAAGGCAAAATGCTCAATGGCATATGACCTTTGCACAGTCTAAAACCATGTTTAGATGGGGATATTTTGGTGTGCAAAGAAAATGGTGCAATATGTGATGCAATTTCCAGTTTTGTTCTCATAATTTGATTCTTCTTTTTTTACCTTCTTTTTCTCATTTCATGATTATCAATCACAACAGGGAAGGAAACTCACCTCAAATTCAACCATTCTCTTGTTGGCAAGATCTGCCTTGTTTCCTGCTAGCGCTATGACAATGTTGGGACTGGCTTGTCTTTGCAGTTCTTTCACCCACGTTTTGGCCCTTCCAAAGGTCTCCTAGATAAGGAAAAAATAGAAACAAGAGGAAGAGAGAGAGAGGGGAGGGGGTATATGAATTAAAAACTTAAATTATACACTATGAAGTCATGCTCGAATTAAAATCAGGAAAAGTACAATAGCTGCTGAGAGGTACTTCAAAATACAAAGAGGGTATCACTTGTTTTTTTAAAAAAAACCTTTCCTATTTTGATATGTTCTGAATATAGGACTGATTTAATTAATTCAACAACATATGAATGTGTACACAAAGACGGAATACAAGACATATAAATGTAATTTGCAAGCTCATGTAAATGAACTATCCCTTAAAATGTATTTTATCAGAAATGAATTCCAACAATGAATGATCCATTGATTATGCAATTCATGCAAACTGTGTAAAAGGAGAAGGTTGTGGTTGCAAATTTGCCATGATTGTCTGTAAGCAATCTGTGCAAATGACAGCTACCCTGGACAAACAGTGCATATAACATTTACAAAGGTAATCAGACGCTCCTTAGTGCAACATCTTGAGGGGGAAGAATTTGATCTTTCCCTTTCCAGTATGTCTCATGAGTTATTTTACATCATTCTTGGTTACATGGCTACCCTAGGATACTGTACATGCATAAGGCCTCTACTACAAACCCGTTTACAGGTGCCTAAAACATGAGTATTGCATGTCAGTATTGAAAGTACTGGGTAGAGTATTTGATATCCCTTCCTCTCTTACATTACACACTTCCTCTGCTACAATACACACATTCAAAATGAAATGAAAGGGGATTTTTCAATACTTTATAAATGGCAAAAAGAAATTGGTTTCAAATTGGGTTGTTTTTCAGTTCTGCTTGGTAGGCCCAAAACAAGACCTAATGTACATACCAAGTTTAGCAGCTTACACAACACACCCACAAATAATACATTTCTGAAGGGCATGTGCACACATACATGTACAAAGGCCTCATTAAACTTGACGTCTACAATGTAATCACATTTGTGACAAGCTGCTATTGTACATTCAATCAAACTATTTGGTATTTTACCTTGATTTTAAATTGTTTGTACCAAACCCTGAACCTCTGATTATAATCATAAATCTTTTGGCTCATACACAAAACAGCATTTTAATTTCTGTGTTGGCTGTCATAGACACCAGACTATGCAAAATATAACCCTGAACACAGCTGTCACATGACTCTAGTTTCCCTTCAAAGGGTTCTAATGGTGACTCATGTGCTCAAAATACGTGTCTTTCTGTACAATCTTACCGGCATGCATTTCATACATGCTTCAAAATCGGCAGGTTCTTATTTCACAATGCATGCATCTCTCAAAATGTGAGTGTAAACAAGTGGAATAACCAAATTGGGCCCGCTCACTTGAATGTGGATTAAAGGGGAAAATGCCCCCCCCCCCACTAAAAAATAGGGAACAGGTAAACATGTACATAGCAATATAACAGTGCCAACCTAGAAATCATCTTAATTAATTTACAATTTAAAGAGGATAGTATGTATTCATGGAAATTATCTGGACATGTAAATTGCAACAATGTCCCCAAAAGGAATAGATGACAATATTTTTTTCCCCTTCGATCAAACTTACTTGATTTGTGATATCATAAACTACAATTGCTGCTTGTGCTCCTCGGTAGTACATAGGTGCCAAGCTGTGGTAACGCTCTTGTCCGGCTGTGTCCCAGATTTCAAACTTTACTGTTGTGTCATCAAGACAAACTGTCTGTGTCAGGAATGCAGCTATAGATAGGAATAGAAATGGCAAATAAAGTATAATTCAGTTTCAAATTATTGTCAAACATTAGAAATTTGTTTTGCTCACATTTTACAAACGTACAAAGAATCAAAGTAACTTTACATACATAATATACTATGGCGTAAAGCTGCATACTCAAGTACATTGTACTACCATAGAATAGAAACAAAACCTATTTACTACTCAAGTACAACGTGGCCTTTTGTATTTTTAAATGTTATAAAAGATACACATGTACATCACAGAGTTGCCAATTCATATCTTTAATCAGAATTTGCTCAAACTTCCACTAACTTGTTCCTCTCATTTTTTTTTTGCTTCTATTAAAACTAACTTAATATCAGGGTTGACTTCTCCTTTAAGTAATAAATATTGTATATGCATCAGAGGAAAAATAATTGTCCTACATGTAAATTTACACCCAACACTTTCATGCTTTCAACAACATAAATTGTACATACTGTAAACTCTCAACCTACTACAGGGTACTTCAATTGCATAGTCTTGCCAAAGACTTTGACAAATCAATCCACAACTTCCTTATAATTGTCCTTATTTTTGTTAATATTCACAGATTTTGGCATCAGATTTCCCTGTTTTAATATGTGACAGAATTTATTAGTTTGTAAAAATGTTAGTTCTTTTGAAAAATTTCCCTTCAAAACCAGCTCCACTGATACGTACATGTACATGTACATGTACGTCAATATGTAGCATTGTGAAAATGAATACAAAACTCATACACTGAATTGCAATCTGCTCACTGTATATGTACATTTGTACATTGTACATGGAAGACTAAATCCTAAAGTCACCTTTTTAATGATTTTCTGGACAAACATACATTGTACACAGTATTGTATGCATTGTATACATGTGTGTAACTCAAATTCTAGATATGTAGCAGAGGCCTTACATGACTAAATATTATTATCTTAACATTAGTAGTTAAAGGTATTGGGAACGCCCCAATTTCAAAAAATGAAATGGAAGCTCTATTACCAATCATGTGAAAGAATATGTTTTAACTAATACATGATGATAATATTTTGCCGGGAAACCGCCTATTAATCGATATATTTGGTAAATTAGTTAATCTATTGTTATGTGAGAGTTAAACGCATGTGTCGCGCACGTGTGCGTAGTCCCATATACATCTTTCTGTGTACAGTGCTTGTAACTTTACAAAGACTGGGCCAAATTTCTTATCATTCTGATGATTCCAGAACCTTGCAGTACACACCAATACTTATATGCTAGATGATCAACCTTTTCTGATCAATTCCACAATGTTTCTTTCACAATGCAATTGCATGACCATAACTGGTCTTTATCTTTAACAAAAAATACCATGACGCATGTGAACTAAAGGAAAGAAAGAACACATGATAATGATATTGTTTTTTTTTCTCATCTCTTTGCATCCTCCCTGTGAATGCAGATTTGTAACCTACCATCACATAATCATTCAGACCACAGAGTACGAGAGGCCCATGGTACCCTGGCTAAGCTAAATGTATCCACACTATCACAACTAATGGACGAGAACCTACACAATATATGTGGTGCATATATCTTCTTCCATTTGTATGCATTCAAAACTACACTTATGGTACATGAAATAATGTCCTGTATTACATTGTAACATAACCATCTTCGTTTCCATCAATGTCTCACTACCAAATTGACAAGATTATGTGTGTCAGTGCAGACAGGCCCAATTTTATGCGTGGGAACATGGCGCATATTGTCAAATCAGTGCACTGGGGATTGATGCAGCATGCATACAACACATGTCAGTGCTGTACAAGTACACTGCATCAACACTTATACAGTAGTATGGAGAACAAACCACAATAGCTGTCAGCCATATCACACTGCTTCTTGTCGTTCACGTCTTAGAATAATCATGCACAGTCCTATCTTTGTTGAGGACATGAATGCACTTACTTTAGCCTTGTAGAATTACCGACACTAGGAGATTTTAACTTAAAGGTAAAGACCAGTATTGGAAACGCCCCAATTTCAAAAAATGAAATGGAAGCTCTTATTACCAACCATGTAAAAGAATATGTTTTGACTAATACAGGATGATAAAAAATTTGCCGGGAAACCGCCTCCTAATTGATATATTTGGTAAATTAGTTTATCTATTGGCCTGTAAGAGATAAACGCATGTGTCACGCACATGTGCGTATAGTCCCATATACATGTATGCTAGATGATCAACCTTTTCTGATCGATTCCACAACGTTTCTATCACAATGAATTGCATGACCAAAACTGGTCTTTATCTTTAAACCACTTAAGAAAAACTTAAGAAAAGAGCAAATGAAAACCATCAAGGAGTCATGACTCATGACTAGGCCTACAAATCCTAAACAATTATTATTCCCGCCCCCCCCCCCCCAATTTTTTTTTATAACAGTGTTTTAAAATGTTAAGTCTATATGTACAATGTACATGTACATTACATCCTGGATTCAGTTAGCCTACAAACAGTATGCTTACATTGAGTCTGTGATGTTTAGGCTCATGTACATGTACAATGTACAGCCAACAAAATTTAGTCTATACACTGTAGTGTTTACATGTACAGTACTGTATGTATGCCATGAATGATCTTCCCACAATTGTAAGAGTGCTCAAAGTACAGCCTGTCAGAAAGTACAACTAATGAAGTTATGACCAATTGAAAAAATGAATGTCAGCAATTATAACATTCATGCAGGAATCACACAATCAGAAGGAGAAAAAAAACAAGCAGGAAATAAAATCGGCCATGCATGGCAATCTATAGGCAAAAGATGAAATAAAAATTTCATTCACAACTAAAACAGTCAACAAATATCAAGCCTTAAAGCTTATCTGCCGTAGTTTACAGGAGGGATTAGACCGCTCTGCAAGGTCACTGGACAGGCGGTTATCTCATCAACTCAGCTCTCAGTTAACATAAGAACAAGAGGATCATGGGGGACCAATGGTCACCGATTAGGGATTGTTTGTTATATAGAGGGCGCAAGTAGCTACCAGTAGTGCAGTGGGCCTTTAAACAATATTCATGGACATGTACAGTGTACATGTAAGGGGACATGAGGCTGTACATGTACAGCAAACATGTTTGTGATTTACAGCAAAACATTTCTAAAGCAATTCTATGCACAGTATACTATTTAGAGATTACAAATAATGTACAGGTACAACATGTACATGTTTTTGTCTAACTGTACTGTATGTGGATATAAATCCCATTACTGTATTTATCAGCACATAGAACATCAGACACATCCTGATTCCTACCTTGCTCTATAAATTTTACTTATGCAGCAGGATTGGTAGATTTAGAGTGTACATGTATCTCTTGATTGAAACAAAAAAATTGTTGTCAAATTCAAAATTGTGACCCCCCCCCCCCCCCCCCCCCCCCATCTGCAAATTAACCCACCCTATCCGCAACTCCAGTTAAAACTCAGACAAGCATTTTGGAGGACCAGTGTACCAACCAAGTATCAAGTACTAATCATGGTGTAGTTCACACTAAGGGCGTGTTTATGCTTAACTTTTTCTGGCCAGAATCAGGCATCTGTTACGCGTTTAGTTTAAAACACGGTTGCGTCCATGCTCACTTTTGTAAAATCACTGAAAAACAGCGATCATGATCGCCGAACTTAAACTCACAAAAAGATGCGTTTACAATTTGTAAACGTGTTTAAATGGGGTCAACGCACTGACCTCTAGTGGGTCTACGTAGCATGCACAGTGCAGGTTGCGAATCCAGCTGCAAGGCCAATTAAGGCCACACAGGGAGAATTGCCTGGAGGAGCCAGAGAAGTGAGCATAAACAGTACACCGTGGAACTGCGATTACGATGTGCGTTTCAGATCGCTCATTCTACCTTCAAAATCAAGCATAAACGCAGCCTAAGTCACTGTGACCCAATGGAAACAATCAGCAATTCATGCCATGTGTCATACAGGTGTGTACAGTGTACAACTGTACATGTAGGTACATGACATGTAGATGTAGGTGTACACAGTACACACAATAGGTAAATTTTATTCAACTGGGATCACTGACTAATCTACAGGTACGCAATAGTATGCAGGCCAACTTGTATACAATTACAATTGCAATGTACATTATGCAGGACATTAAAAATGTTTGACATTTGGTAAATGTATTTTTTGGATACACTGCACACAATACATGTTCATGTACATGAACAACAGCACTCTACCCTTGAGGTCAGGTTCGTTTACTTCAGGTACATGGATGTGCCCTTAATAATAATAATAATAATAAATATAACGGACCTTAACGGTCCTTATGTACATTGTCTGTGAACATGCACAACAAGTATCTGTGTGTATATACCCTTGGGTATGTTGAAGTATACAGTGTGCATGTACCCTGCTGTAATGTACATGTAGGGACACACCACATGCATTCTAGCATGATGAATATATTCCATGCAGAACATACTGTGACTCACACCCAAAACAAATATTCTGCTTTCCACACTAGAATAAATGCTTGATCATTGTACTTTCATTGTGTGGAGGCTTTACACAAACTCTAACAACTGCATCAGTTGCCTACAATGTATATAGTGCTCGTTTCGAAATTGTTGAAACAAGCACTTACATACATGTATAAGCAAGTGCAACTGTAAAAGAAAAAAAAAACACCCATAAGTAGTTAGATTTTCAAAATACTTCAAAAAGCTACATAGAACTTGTCCAGCTAGGGTTCTGTGTATTTTTTTTGTTTTGTTTTGTTTGTGAGTTTCTTTGTAATTCATCAATATTTGTTGTTTTTAATTTGTCTAACCTTAAATTAACTTAAATCCTTGATTTCCTTCAAACTTATTACAATATAATCATTTACATGTAATCATTTACATGTACCCCCAAAGGCAGAGGATTTTCTTTTTGAGCATGCGGGGGATATCCATTATTTTATACAAACTTACGAATATATATTC